GTGGGCCGACGCTCTAACTGCTGAGCCAAACCAGCCAGGCCCCCCAATGCTCCACAGATACATTAATGGTGGTGCTGGGACAAGAACCTGGGGTTTCTCTAATTCAACCTTCTTTCTGTCACTTACTTTTGATGCCCTGCCAACATGCTAATGTTACAATTCTATCTGGTTCCTTAAAAATCACTGGAAGCATAATTCCTGATAGCCTTGGAAACCATTAGAGCATCCAGGTTTGGGGCCTGTGAGTGTTTGTTGATTCTTGCTCCACAAAATCAATACAGTATCAAGACTTGAATGCCAAATCAATACTGGCTGATGTGGCAAATGCTTTAAAATGGTTTTTGCATTTTATCTTCCAGGTCTAAGGCTAAATATCACCTTTTCAGAGATGCCTTCTCTAGCAAGCTTATTTATGCTTGTCCTCTTCTAATATTTTAGAGTACATGTCCTATTTTAAAATAATACATTTTACTGTGTATCTTTTCTAATAGACTATAAATTCCATGAAGGCAGGGGTCATTTCTGTTTTGTTCACTACTGTTTATTTAGCACCTAGCACAGTTCTTGGCATACGGAATAAGCTCAGATAGTATTTGTTGATAAGCAAATGACTTTCTCTCTCTAACCCATGGTTGAAGTAAACGTTATGGAAGCCCTAGTTATCTCTTTTATTCAGTCCTAAACTTGGTGTATAAGTCCAAGGGATGAAAGTTCCAGGGAAGAAAATTTTAGCTCAGGAAAAGCTATCAAAGATTCAGAAATGAGACGAGTTATCTGGTGGGATACTGAGCTCTTTGCCAAGAGATGTGCCCAGGTCCACAGGATCTCTCTGAAGCTTGACCGTGACATGTGACTCCCATGACTTCTAACTCTAAGATTCTGTAGTTCATATCAGCTATCTGAGTTTGAGTTAGGTTAAAATAAAGTGCACATACAAACTACCTAGGATAAGTAATTGGATGAGACCCGGAAAGTTGATTATTCTGGCATGCATGCCTTTTTACGATTATTTGATACTACAAATTCTACTGAATATACAATCTACTGTAAGTCTACATATCCGTAACTCAATGAAGATTAAAAGCAAAGAGCTGTAAAATTGTGTGGTGGTTCAGTTTTATACACTTTCATGTGAAATGATGAAAATGATGTTTGAGCTCATACCAGAGTAAGAAGCTTGTCCAAAGTGATGCATGCAACATGCTGGACCTCCAGGTCTCAAACCCTTGCATCAGCCATCTTCTCCCTCTGACAGACATCACTTCGGACTCCCAAAAATATAGCTGAATATAGGTTTAGCTATATTTGCATCCTCATCTTGGATTGAAAATACCCTTTTTCAAATTTCTTTGGGGAAAGGACAAGTGGAATTTTATTTTATTTAAATATGTTTTCTCTATTGATTTTAGAGAGAGAGCAAGGGAGAGGGAGAGAGAGATAGAAACATCAATTGGCCACTTCCTGCATGCCCCATACTGTGGATTAGGCCCACAACCTGGGCATGTGCCCAGACAGGGAATCAAACTGGTGACCTCTTGGTGCATGGGTCGATGCTTAATCACTGAGCCACACCGGGCAGGCACAAGTAGAATTTTAAAATACAACTATTTTTTTCTTTCATAGGTATAAAAAATCTATTTTACTGAGTATTAGAGAAGTTACAAACATAAATTAATATAATTAATGTATAATAAAATATAAATTAATGACAACACAACAGTGATTGGTTTAAATGATTAATACATCTCATTGGTTTTACAATTAAAATCAGTTTAAAAAATTAAATTTATTGGGGTAATATTGTTTAGTAACATTATACAACTTTCAGGTGTACAACTTTATAATCATCTGTACTTTCCATTGTGTGCTCACCACCCAAAGTCTAGTCTTCTGTCACCATATATTTGACCCTCTTTACCTCTTCATCCTCTCCCATCCCCATCCCTTCTGATAACTACCATACTGTAGTCTGTGTCTATGAGTTTATTTTTGTTTTTTTTTATCCTCACCTGAGGACATTTTTTCATTTTATGTTCAGACAGAGTAGGAGGGAGAGAGAGGAAGAGAGAGAGAGAGAAACATCGACGTGAAAGGGACACATTGAGTGGCTGCCACCCGCACAACCAACCAGGGCCGGGGACAAACTGCAACCGAGGTACGTGCCCTTACCGGGAACCGAACCCGCGTCTCTCTGGACTGTAGGCCGACACTCTAAACGCTGAGCCAAACTGGCCAGGGCTATGAGTTTGTTTTGTTTGTTCATTTCTTGCTGTTTATATCCTACATATGAGTGAAATCATATGGTTCTTGTCAATTTCTATCCGACTTATTTCACTTGGCATGATACTCTCAAGATCCATTCATGTTGTTGCAAATGACAGTATTTCATCTTTTCTTATGGCTGAGTAGTATTCCACTGTATATATGTACCACTTCCTTTTTATACAATCATCCATCAGTGATTACTTAGGTTGTCTCCATGTCTTGGCTACTACAAATAATGCTGCAATGAACATAGGGTTATATATATATCTTTATGAATAAATGTTTTCAAATTTCTCAGTTAGATACCCAGAAGAGGGATTGCTGGTCACATGGAAGCTCTATTCTTAAATTTCTGAGGAACCTCCACACTGTTTGCCATAGAGGCTGCACCATCTTGCATTCCCATCAGTGGTGTATGAGGGCTCCCCTTTCTCCACATCTTCAACATTTATTTCTTATCTTATTGATAACAGCCATTTTAACAGGTGTGAGGTGGTAACTCATTGTGGTTTTGATTTGCATTTCCTTTATATAGCTAGCGAGGTTGAGCACTTTTTCACGTAGCTGTGTGTCTTCTTAGGAAAAGTGTCTGCTCAGGTCCTTTGCTCATTTTTAATTGGATTTTTGGGGGCTGTTGTTGAGTTATAAGAGTGTGTGTTTTTTAAAAAAATATATTTTGGCCCTGGCTGGTTTAGCTAAGTGGTTAGAGCATTGGCCCACGGACCAGTCACAGGTTCAATTTCAGTCAAGGGCATGTACCTCGGTTGCAGTTCGTCCCCAGCCCTGGTTGGGGTTGTGCGGGAGGCAAACAGTTGATGTGTCCCTCTCATGTTGATGTCTCTCTCTCTCTCTTTCTGTCTCTCTCTCTCCCCCTCTCCCTTCCTCCCACTCTATCTGAAGATAAAGAGAAAAATATCCTTGGGTGAGGATAAAAAATCCTACTAACCAAAAAAAAGAAAAACCACTGTATTTGAATATTAGCCCATTATCAGAAACAACATTTGCACAGAACTTTACCAATTTTTATTTTGTTGATGGTTTCTTTTGCTGTACAGAAGCTTCCTAGTTTCATGTAGTCCCATTCATTTGTTTTTGCTTTTACTTTCCTCACCTCTGGGGTCAAGTTCAAAATAATCCCTCTGAGATCAAGCTCCATAAGTTCAGCACTTGTTTTCTTCTTTGTATTTTATTGTTTAAGTTGTTATATTCAAGTCTTTAATCCATTTTGAATTAATTTTTGTGTACGGTGTCAGACAGCAATCTAGTTTCATTCTTTTGCATGTGGCTTTCCAGTTTTCCCAACATCATTTATTGTGTTCCTTTCTCTATTGTTTTAGACTCTTCTGTCAAAAATTAGTTGCCCATATATGTGTAGGTTTATTTCTCAATTCTGTTCCATTGGTCCGTGTGTCTATTTTTCTGCCAATCCCATACTTTTTTGTTATTTTAGCTTTGTATTATAATTTAAAGTCAAGGGGTGTGATACCTCTGGCTTTGTTTTTTTTTTCTTCAGGATTGCGTGGGCTACTTGGGGTGTTTTGTGGTTACACACAAATATAAGGATTTTTGGTTCTATTTTTCTGAAAAGTTCCATTGGGATTTTGATGGGGATTGCATTAAATGTGTATATTGATTTAGGTGCTATGGCCATCTTAACTACATTAATTCTTCCAACCCATGAACACAGACCATTTTTCCATTTCTTTGTGTCTTCTTCAATTTCTTTCAGTGTATAGGCCCTTTACTGCCTTTGTTTATTCCTAGGTATTTTATCCCCTTTGTTGCTAATGTAAATGGGATTTTTTAAAATTTCTTTTTCTGGCACTTCATTGTTAGTATATAGGCAAGCAATGAATTTTTGTACATTCATTTAGCACCTTGCAATTTTGCTACATTTGTTTATTGTTTCTAAGTCTTCTGGCAGATTCTTTAGGGTTTTCAATATATAGAATCATGTCATCTGCAAAGAGTGACCGTTTTACTTCTTCTTTTGCTCTTTGGATGCTATTTCTTTCTTCTGCCTGACTATTGTGGCTGGAACTTCCAGGACGATGTTGAATAATAGCGGTGAGAGTGGGAATCCTTGGTCATGTTCCTGATCTTAGAGGGAAAGCGCTCAGATACTCACTAATGAGTGTGATATTAGCTGAGGGTCTGCCACATATGGCCTTTATTATTTAAGGTACTTTCCTTTTATACCCGTTTTATTGAGGCTCGACAGTTATTAAATGTCATTTTTTTCACCCATTCTGATGGAAGAAGATTTTAATTCAGAACAGCAAGTTTATTAACTCAAGACCCAAAGGAAGAATATTTTCTTCTATAATATTTAGTAAACCACCAAGAATAAGATGGGCATTTGTCATAGGTTAAATGGTAAGAAAAGATCCAATAACATTTTATTTTTAGTTACTAGTTGTTTCTCAAAGGTCACAGAAGGCAGTGAGCTAATCATTTAAGACAAAGTCAAGTACACGATCACATCCCCTCTTAGAGTTTGAAAAGACCTTTGAAACTATCTAGTTTAATTTCTTTATTTCTTCTTTATTGACATAATAGATCTGAGATTCTATCGGCTCTAAGTACCCCTTCTTGGGAGAGTTCAACTTTCCCTAAAATGCCTCAACTTTATAAGAAAATCATGATTGCTTTTATTTTTCATGTTATATGTTATGGTGTGACAAGTGCATTTTGAAAACGTCTGCATTTCTAGAACCCAAACATGCGTTCTCCTGTGTGCACATTCACCTGCGGTACTCTGGCTGGGAGGATCTTCCTTACCAGTCTTCCAGTTATAAAAGACACGAATGAGTAAATCTTGGAAAAGGGATGACATCTTTGATATTGTCAATTCCCAAGATGCATTGCAGATAGCGTTCAAATCCCATCCCAAAACCTCCATGTGGCACAGATCCAAACCGACGGAGGTCCAGGTACCTGATTTTGAAAAACAGATAATCATCACCTGTAAACGCTGTATGGGGTCAGACTTTATAATAGAATTTATGTTTCACAGTATTCTGTCATCATCTGTTACCATTCACATCATTGTGGTAGACCAGTCTTTTCCCTCCATAGATGAAGGACACAGAGAAGTTAAAATGACCTAATGTTACCCAAACAGTGGCAAATTTTGTTATTCATTCATGGACTTTGGTTACTTGATCCTTTTTCTTTCTATTTACTTAATTATATACAGAAAACTTGCCTCATGAGGCCACAGAAAATTTTCTAATAACTTTACCAATTTTCTTCACAATATAGTCCTTTCCTATTTCTTAGTATGTTAATAATGCTTTGTTTTCCCTTACCAGAATCAGACTGTTCAATACACAGAAGAGAGTGCAGTTCTGTCTGATAAATTATAAAAAGATATGCTCTACTAGGTTAGACTGTAAGCTACATCAAGGGCAGGACCTGCATTTTATTCACCCTTCCGTCTCCAGTGCCTGCTCTGCAGGAGTTGCTTACTATGCGAAGACTTATTGTTGGAAGGTACAGAAATACACTCGTGCGCGCTGGAGTGAGGCAGAAAATTCCAGTTCCCTGCTTTCCACCTAGTGGAAGATGTCCAGAGTCATTTTTCTGGAAGGCTAGACAGCTTCTGAAGCCCATCCATAAACATTCTATTCCCACTTAAGAAGGCTAGAAATGGCTAGAAAGTGAAACAGCCAAGATTCAAACTCAGATTCCAATACAGCAGCCTAGGGTAAAGTTACTTTAGGAAAGAGGAGGAAGGAGATTCTGCAGATATTTTTATGTTATTTGGTGGGATAATTCTTGTGTTATATAATATTGATTTTGTAAAATCAGGTCCAGAACAGAGCTTCAGGGTCATAGCTGGTAGCCACTTGGCTCCTCAAGGATAAAGACTGTCACCTATTCTTCCAATGTTAACAACAATGGCTACGTGTACTGGTATTTTGTGCAGTTAAGATTCAGTACTTATCTTTCTAAAATGAAAGATGAATTGCAACTAGGTGAGTTAGAACCAAGGAAGAGTTCTATAAACAGGAGCATCTAGTAAAAAACTTCAGATTAGTAAGGACTGTCAAGAATAATGGATGGAACAGTCTTCAATGATTGAAATGTTTGGTAGCTGAATTAACTTGAAGTTTATAGGGCAAGGGGGCAGAGTATACCTTGATTTAGTAAGAAAATGAGAGGAAGGGCTTATCAAACCACCTGCCACAAACACCTGCAGGATTTGGGCTGGATGTTAGAAGTCCAGCAACAGCTTTCAGTGGTTCTAAATTTCTCACACATCCGTGTCGAAACACTGGTGTAAATGTCTAGAAACGGAATTCAGCATTTTTCTTGTCTTTGCTTTAATAGATGGAAAAATCCACTTCTAAGAAACAAGTTTTCTGATGAATATGTATTTGATGGATTGTTGTTAACTTGATTCTAGGGCAGCCAGATTACAGAAGAGATGGTGCATAAATCTGTGGGACCGGTGACAGGTTTTGCTTGCATATGGCACGTGGAAATAGGAAGTGAGTAGATTCTGAGACACCTGCGGTGGCCTCTCATCGTGGGTGGGACACTCACAGAGAGGTTTTGAAGGTTTTTGAAACCCATTTTACCTTTCAAATACTATGATAACCATTTAAAAGAAAGAAGATTCAAATAATAATTACATTTGGAGATCTTAACAGTTTGAAAACTTTAGTTGGAAAAAGAATAGTAATTAAATGATTAATAAAGACCAGAAAAGACCTACACTTATCTAACCAATAACTAAAATTTGCATTCAGCTAGTTTTTACACACTATGGATATTATCTTGTAGACAAAAACTGAGGTAAAATGCATAAACTTGATCAATCAGGCTCACGTACCTAATAGCAAAAGTCAGAACAAAGGAAGAAAAGGTGGTGGTGGTGGTGGGGGGGGGGGGAACTAGCATTTACTGAGCTTCTACTCTATGTAGATACTTAACCTACATTGTTTCATTTCATCCTTACAATAACCCTGTGAAGTAGATATTATCATTCCATCTTTTAGCCAAGAAAACTAAGACTCAGAGTGATTAAAAATGTCTAAGGTCATTACTGGTTAAAAAAAAAAACCAAGGCATTCAAGGCCCATTACCTGAACCCAATTTTAGGCCATTAGCATTTCTAAAATTTAGTTCCTTCATTACCAAAAAGCAAGTGTGTAATTTGATACTTCCTTCTCCTGAGGACAGGTGAAGAATTAATAATATTGTTGATATTACTATATCAAGGTCCTAAAGAAGCCCTATTACAGAAATATAAATTAAAAATTTTGCCTATACTGAAAAAGACTTGAAGAAAGAGTCTGAGGAAAGAAAACCAGATTTCTACAGTTGGTGAAGATCACTTAGGGGCCACTTAGTTCAACTCCCTAATTTCACACACAGAGAAATTAAAGCATAATGGTGAGGAACAAAGGCTATGTTTCTAACTGCCTTGTTATTAGTTAAGGTTGTTAACATCTCTAGGCCTCAAGTCTGAAGGGGTAGTTAAAAGGGAATAAGAATAGTACCTAACTCACAAGGTGTTATGCTGATTACATGAGATAATATATATCAAAATTTTAACACAGTTGTCTAGCACACAATAAGTAATAAATAAACAGCAGCCATTATTATTACTGTTTTTCAAGGACTCTAAAAAAGAAGTAATTTTCTGAGAGCATATTCATTGTTTTCAACACTTTTTCATAGTGCCTTGAGAATATAAGTAAAAACTAGGTAATGCTCGGACCAATGGCGAGAATAAGAATCGTTAGGGGCCTCATTCTTACCATTGGTAGGCTTCTGTCAGTCCTGATCTGCGAAAGGAATACAAAAGAATTATTTCAGAGAATGTCAGTAAGAAAAATATACTAACCACCAAACATCTGCTCTGTGTTGTGTGTGCTTGACAAAACAGTACACCCCAAAACTTGTGCTCTCAATGACATGCAATCTAGTTGAGGAACTGTACCTTTACTATATGGTAAGAAAGGCAAATTAAACAACAGTCCCAGGCTTTATCAATAAGTGGTCTAATCAATAAATGTTATAGGAAGAAAGTATGGCCCAGGGCCCAAAAGAAGGGGTTCATTTGAGATGAGTGTACTGTCCTGTCGCATAAGAAAAGCACTATCACTGCCCTGGCCAGTTTGGCTCAGACATTGGAGCACTGGCCTGTGGACTGAAGGGCTGCAGCTTCGATTCCCCGGGAAGGGCACGTGCCTGGGTTGCAGGTTCGATCCCCAACCCTGATCGGGGTCATTTGGGAGGCAACCAATTGATGTGTGTGTGTCTCTCCCTTCCCTCCCACTCTTTCTAAAAAAAAAAAAAAAAAATCAATGGAAAAATAACCTTAGGTGAAGACATTAACAACAACGACAAAAAGAAAACTGCTACTTAAGGCTGTTGGGAGGCACACACAAAGGACACACAGACACCCCTTTTCTTCTCTAATGTTAAAATAATAATGTAGATTCTGAGGCTACCCTCATAATGTGATTGCTAACTGGTTTTTGCCAATGAAGTATTAACATTTGCAGCCTTTAGTACTCATTAAAATTAATTTCCGTCCTTTAAAAAAGGAACCAGTGTTTCTGAAGTGATCAGAAGGATGAAAAACTCAAATACACAGAACACATAAACAGATGTCCCAGACAGATCTGTGAGAGCGAAACACATATTCATTTCATTAGGAGAGATAAATTTGGATATTATCAAATATTAGGTAAACATTTAATGTTATGAGGAAAGGTTTCCTGAAGGAAGGAAGCAGGCAAAGAAAACAGACCAATTAATCTTTCAACAGATGAGGTTTCTTGCCATGTGTGATTTTTATTGTGCTTAAAAAAAAATAAAAAAAACAGAGAATCTTTAAATTCTTTCCATCTAAGGAGTTTGACCTTTACTTCAATTCCACGATTTTCCCAGGACTTTCTAACATTATGGTTATAATAAGGAGTTAGTATGCTAATAAAAAAAGAGTCCTCCCAAAACATATTTATCCCCTTTCTTCTGGACCCTAACCAAATAGAGCAGTTCAAATAAACAGGATTACAAAACCAAGTTACCCAACAGATTTATAGGTTGAGACCTAGGAAAACATGAAGTTTTAAGCATTTCTCCATTAGGAAAAGAAAGCCTCACAAATGGATAATTTAGCAGGATATTTTCAAACAATTATGGCTTTTCCAGGTTACTATGAAACCCAGTATTACTTAGAGAGAAGGATTATGCCTTCAACATGGGAAAGCCTTTTTGTTTTAAGTCTGGCACAGCACAAGTGGAAACCACGGAGAGCAGAGGTTTGCAGCCTGGGTGGTTTGGGAAGTCACTGTGGTGTGTTGGCAGCCCGTGCACATACAGGAGTGGTAGTTCAATTAGAAACATGATTCCTGACTTCTCTTCTCCAAAACATTTCTGTGTGTTTACAGATTCATCTCCCAGGCCTCAGACAGACAGTTAAAATAAGTTATTCAAACAGCTAAATCAAGACCCTTACACAATATAGAAAATCTGAAGAAGGGAAATCTGCTTATCCTAAATGCAAGCTTACCAGGTATTTTTAGCATCTTTCTTTTTCCATCTTTTTATCCTTTCCCTGGTACAGAGTCTATCTTTCTTTATGTGTCTCCCCCCTCCCCCCCCGGGGCTAATAATTTAGAGTAAACAAAAAAGAACACAGAGAAGAGAAAAATAAAAATGAAGAACAAGCTTTGAGGGGGGGAAGCTCCCTCCCCCTTCCATCATTAACTTTTTAAAAAGCCATTTCTGTAGGAAGAGATACAGAGTGGGCAACTTCTTTCACCGTGGCCTTGTTTTGAATAACAGTTTCATTTGTTAAGAAAGGGAAGCTGAGAAAGGTCAATTAACAGCGTGTTCAAGATCACTCAGAATCTGAGTTTCAGTGTGTCAGCTGCTGAGGCCCATGAACTGTTCTGTTACTTTGTCATGGCTGCCTTTGAGTGCCCTGCCCCCGATTTCTGAAACTTGTTTCTTTTAGGTCTGACCAATACCTGGCCAGTCGCTGCTCTAAGAAATGGTACCGTTCCTCTCTGAGGCTTCCTCCAAAGAGCTCTCCAACTCCGGGAACCAGAAGATCAACAGCAGCAACCTAAAAAGGAAAAATACAAAAAAATAAAATAAACATTACATTTTCGGGGGATTCAGCAATTGTCAGCTTCTCAAGCATGTGACATTTTAACATTTTGACAACTGGCTGATTAACTGCTTACCAGAATTTTATTTATGCTATCTCTTCATGTTCCCTGTTTCAACATGAAATGTTTAAGATCATCTTTAGCGTGCACGCTACACAATCTGCAGGCGGACATTTTCTTTCTTTCTTTTTTTTTTTATCCTCACCCGAGGACATTCTTCCATTCTTTGTTCAGATAGAGCAGGAGGGAGAGAGAGGAAGAGAGAGAGAGAGAGAAACATCGACGTGAAGGGACACATCGAGTGGCTGCCACCCGCACGACCAACCAGGGCCGGGGACAAACTGCAACCGAGGTACGTGCCCTTAGCGGGAACCAAACCCAGGTCCCTCTGTACTGCAGGCCGACACTCCAACCGCTGAGCCAAACCGGCCAGGGCTGCATGCGGACATTTTCCCTCCACTCTTCCACCCCTTTATGCAGTATACTTAACAAAAATGTGTTTTCTTCACAAATGTGATATGTCAATTATGAAAATGTGAAAAATATTAAAAATTATGAAACATTAAAAAATACCTATCACCACACAGAAGCAATGACATTTTGGCATATTTCCTTTCCGGTTTTGTCTTCTTGTACATTTAAAGAGTATCACAGAGATCAAATAACACCATTCTAATGTCTTACTAATATTATAGAATAAATAGCTGTCCTGTGTCAAAGCACTTTGCATACTTAATGTTTTAATAGCTGCATAGTTTATTGTTTAGGACTCTCATGGTTTTTATTTAACTGCTTTCCTTTTGAACATTGACGGGTACGTGTATGTTTGTTTTCTCTCATCAATAATGTAACAATGAAGATTTTTCTTTGATTTGTAGTATTTTGTTGAGACTTTTGTAAACACATTTGTAAAATGTGTTCTGAAGTACAAATGAAAACAACAAGATATCATTTTGGAGTTATCGAGATGGTGAAGATGAGAAAACAACATATACAAGATGGACTAGCGAATGCATCAACCAGGACTCTCATACATTTGATACCACCTTTCTGGTCAACAATTTGGCAAAAGATAATCAAAAGCCTTAAAAATATAATATGCTTTGACTCAGCAATAGCAGTTCTAGGAACCTGTCCTAACAAAATAATCAGAGATGCACAAACAAGATTAACATACAGGATGTTTATTGCAGCATTACATATAATGACAAGAAATTAAAGTGTAAATCAATAGGAGGCTCTTAGATAAACTTTAGACATAAGTAAAAAAAAAAAAGAATGATATCTATATCATGAAATCTTGTGTTGCCACTGTGACATATTTTTTATTATTTGTATTTCCTTATTTTCTACAATGAAGATATGTTATACTTTTGTTAATTAAAAAACAATAAAACTTTTTTTTTTTTTAACAGAGAGGAAGAATGAAGAGAGAAATATTGATGTGAGAATGTAACATCAATTGGCTGCCTCCTACACACCCCCTACTGGGGATTCAGCCTGCAACCTGGGCACATGCCCTCTCTGGGAATGCAACTGGCAACCTTCTGGTGTATAGGATGATGCCCAATCAATTGAGCCACATGGGCCAGGGCCAGAAAAATTTTTTTAATTAATCCTCACCGAAGAGTATTTTTCCACTGAATCCCTCAGAGAGTGATAGAGGGGAGAGAGAGTGGTAGGGGGGAGAAAGAGAGACAGACAGACAGACATTGATGTGAGAGACACACAGCAACCGGCTGCCTCCCACATGACCATGGCTAGGGCCAGGGATTAAACCCACAATCCAGGCACATGCCCTTTATATGAATCAAACCCATGACCCTTTGGTCTGAGGGCTGATGCTCTAACTGCTGAGCCAAACTGACCAGGGTCAGAAAAACTTGTAATAGGAAAAAATAGTAACTTGGTGTTTTAATTTATATTTCTTTAGTTACTAATAATACTTCATGTAAGACTGTTTATTTGCTATCTCTATTCTCTTGTGGCTGGACCACTCTTTTTGGGGGTGCAGGTAGACATTTTTAAGACCAAGGATATTGAAGGCACAAAAGTAAGATTTAATGCGATAAGAATTCAGAGAAGATGGCTGTGGGCAGGACCGGAGGGAGGGTGAGTGTGTGAGAGAGTGTGAGTGGACATGAAAGTGGACAACCAAACCCCAGCAGTGCAGAGCCACGGAGCAGAAGGTTCCTGTGCTGTGGACAGGAGCAGCCGGCTACCACGGTAAGTGGCCCTTCAGGGCACTTCTCCCTGCGCTACAGGGAGGTCCCACCATTTTGGAAGATTGGGTCTTCTCTGGGAGGAGGCAGTGGGAGTGGCTAGGGCCCAGCAACCTGAGCCCACCAGCACACCTGGCACCATCGGACCAGTGGATACTCTGTGGCAACACAGACCAGTGCTCAGTAGTGGAGCTCCCAAGGTGCTGGTCACGGAAGCCACGGACAGCCTGGAGCCCGGCACTGTCCCCCATAGTAGCAGCCCTATCAGAGTCAAGATATACCCCCAGCAACAGAGGCTGGGGAATAGACATCCACCCCCAGGCAACAGAAGCACAAACCAGCAGCTGAGACCCATCCCCAAAAACTACAGCAAAAGCTGAGCAAAAGTTGAGCCCCACAGGGCAGCAGCACTCCCCAGCCACCAACGGCAGGACCTGGGGCTCCACAGAGCCCTATGGGGTCCAGTAGCCCACAAGAGCAGTGGGAAGCCAGAGCCTGAAGAGAGACTAGTGCGCTCCAGCTGCTCGCCTGTGGTAACTGCAGGGTGCGGGGGTACCAGAGAAGCCCGTGTGACCCAGCAGGGACTGTGCCATCCAGTTACCCACAGGACCTGTAGGGTGCTAAAGCACAGAGAGGCCTGTACGACCCAGCATCCCATAACATAGCCATAGGTCCGGGTCCCCAAAAGGACTGTGCTATCCAGCTACTCCCAGGATCTACAGGGTGTGGGGGCATCAGAAAGGCCTGTGCAGCCCTGGCCGGTTTGGCTCAGCGGTTAGAGCGTCGGCCTGTGTTCCAGAGAAAGGCCTGTGCAACCCAGCTGCACACAAGATAGGCATGGAGGATATGAAAATGGAGGCGGAGTGAATAAAAGCTACACAGACAATCTCCCAGGACCAAACAGGAATTACAACTAAAATAAAGACAAATCCTTGGAAAAAAGCAACAGAAAAGCAGCAGGACAGGACCAAATAAGCAGGGACACTGGTAGGATCTGTGGAGGCGCAAGAGGGTGGTGGGCTGGGAGCCCAGGGACAGCAACAATCTTAGCTGTGAACAGTGCTCGTGGGGAATAAAGACCAAGCCTGCTCCACAGCGCAGAGAGCCAGGACAGAGTGCTAAAATAGCCACAGTCACTCACCTAGGGGCTACGGCAGAGAGAATTCAGCCTGGGATGGAACTCTGTGGGGACACCCGGAATTTGGAGGGCACTGAGAGTTTTTGCTGAATTGTGGCCACAAAGGGTGGTGGTCAGTGTGCTTCTTCCCTAAGCTGTAGGGAAAAGCAGCAGCCTCCCCCTCGGAGATTCAGCCTTTCCCAGGTGAGTCAAAGAAATGTAAATTGAGGCTCATTAATAACCAGCATCTATGCCACCCTCTGGAAATCCTCTTATGCAGAACACCAGGCCTACATTCCAAGGCACTGAGTAACTGAAACTACTACCCACCAGGAAAAAGCTAGAGGATAACTGAACCTTTCCTGGTTCAAATCTACCCAGGAAAGTAAGACTTGACAGTGGTGTTTAACGTGGGCCTACTCAGGCTCATCTAAACCCAGTAGAGGGAGCCACAAACAGCAGAACACCAACACCCACAGGGAAAATTTGGCAGGCCCCAAAACCCACTGAGATAGCCAAAATGGTGAAACAAAGAAACAAATCCCAAATGAAGGAACAAGAGAACTCTATCGAAGATGAGATAAATGAAATGCAGTTAAGCAAATTATCAGAGGTAGAGTTCAGAGCAATGATCTTGAGGAAGCCCAACAGTATAAGTAAGGACATTGGCACCATAAGGAAGAAGGCATACAAGTTCAAACACAGAGAGCCCCAAGTAAGAAGAACCCAAACAGGCCCACACCAAGACAAACAGTAATTAAAATGCCAAAAATTAAAGACAACGAGAGAATCCTAAAGGCAGCTAGAGATAAGCAACAGGTTGCCTACCAAAGAAACCTCATAAGGCTCTCAGCTGACTTCTCACCAGAAACACTACAGGCCAGAAGGGAGTGACATGAAGTAATCAAGGTCATGTAAAACAAGGATATGAATCCAAGACTACTCTATCCAGCAAGGCTATCATATAGAATGGAAGGTCAAATAAAGAGCTTTCCAGACAGAAAAAGACTAAGGGAATATATTAACACCAAACCAGTACTGCAAGATATGCAAAAAGGACTGCTATAATTAGAAGAAGAAATAGGAAGAAAAATAGAACCACACTAAACAAAAATGGCAATAAATAAGTACATATCAATTATCACCTTAAATGTGAATGGTTTGAATGCTCCGATAATGAGTAGAGACAAAGAAGGCCACTACATAATATTGAAAGACCTATCCAACAGGAAGATACAACCTTGGCAAACATATATGCACCCTATATAGGAGGACCAACATATCTTAATAATCTTTTGGAGGACTTCAAAGGAGAAATCGATAGCAATACAATCATAGCAGGGGACTTCAATACCCCACCTACATCACTGGATAGATCTTCTAGGCAAAAAATTAACAAGGAAACACAGATTCTAAATGAAGTGCTAGATCAAATGGATTTCATAGATATTTACAGAGAATTACACCCCAAAACTGCAGAATTCACATTTTTCTCAAGTGCACATGGGACATTCTCAAAGATAGACCATATGTTAGGGCACAAACTAATACTCTACAAGTTTAAGAAGACTGAAATCCTATCAAGAATCTTCTTAGATTAAAATGGCATGAAACT